CCCATAGAGACGCATAGAGACCAAGAGAGACCCATAGAGACACATAGAGACCCACAGAGACCCATAGAGACCCACAGAGACCCACAGAGACCCGCAGAGACCCATAGAGACTCACAGAGACCCATAGAGACCCATAAAGACCCACGGAGACCCACAGAGACCCATAGAGACCCATAGAGACCCACAGAGACCCATAGAGACCCACAGAGACCCACAGAGACCCACAGAGACTCACAGAGACCCACAGAGACCCATAGAGACCCACAGAGACCCATAGAGACCCATAGAGACCCATAGAGACCCACAGAGACCCATAGAGACCCACAGAGACCCATAGAGACCCACAGAGACCCATAGAGACCCATAGAGACCCACAGAGACCCATAGAGACCCATAGAGACCAAGAGAGACCCATAGAGACCCACAGAGACCCATAGAGACCCACAGAGACCCACATAGACCCATAGAGACCCTTAGAGACCAAGAGAGACCCATAGAGACCCATAGAGACCCACAGAGACCCATAGAGACCCATAGAGACCCACAGAGACCCATAGAGACCCATAGAGACACATAGAGACCCACAGAGACCCATAGAGACCAAGAGAGACCCATAGAGACCCATAGAGACCCACAGAGACCCATAGAGACCCATAGAGACCCACAGAGACCCACAGAGACCCATAGAGACCCACAGAGACCCATAGAGACCCATAGAGACCAAGAGAGACCCATAGAGACACATAGAGACACATAGAGACCCACAGAGACCCATAGAGCACCCATAGAGACCCATAGAGCACCCATAGAGACCCATAGAGACCCACAGAGACCCACAGAGACCCATAGAGACCCACAGAGACCCATAGAGACCCATAGAGACCCACAGAGACCCATAGAGACCCATAGAGACCAAGAGAGACCCATAGAGACCCACAGAGACCCATAGAGACCCACAGAGACCCACAGAGACCCATAGAGACCCACAGAGACCCACACAGACCCATAGAGACCCACAGAGACCCACAGAGACCCATAGAGACCCATAGAGACCCATAAAGACCCACGGAGACCCACAGAGACCCATAGAGACCCATAGAGACCCATAGAGACCCACAGAGACCCACAGAGACCCATAGAGACCCATAGAGACCCACAGAGACCCATAGAGCACCCATAGAGACTCATAGAGACCCACAGAGACCCATAAAGACCCACAGAGACCCACAGAGACCCATAGAGACCCACAGAGACCCATAGAGACCCATAGAGACCCATAGAGACGCATAGAGACGAAGAGAGACCCATAGAGACGCACAGAGACCCATAGAGACCCACAGAGACCCATAGAGACCCATAGAGACCAAGAGAGACCCATAGAGACACATAGAGACACATAGAGACCCACAGAGACCCATAGAGACCCACAGAGACCCATAGAGACCCACAGAGACCCATAGAGAACCACAGAGACCCACAGAGACCCACAGAGACCCATAGAGACCCATAGAGCACCCATAGAGACCCATAGAGCACCCATAGAGACCCATAGAGACCCACAGAGACCCACAGAGACCCATAGAGACCCACAGAGACCCATAGAGACCCATAGAGACCCACAGAGACCCATAGAGACCCATAGAGACCAAGAGAGACCCATAGAGACCCACAGAGACCCATAGAGACCCACAGAGACCCACAGAGACCCATAGAGACCCATAGAGACCCACAGAGACCCACACAGACCCATAGAGACCCACAGAGACCCACAGAGACCCATAGAGACCCATAGAGACCCATAAAGACCCACGGAGACCCACAGAGACCCATAGAGACCCATAGAGACCCATAGAGACCCACAGAGACCCACAGAGACCCATAGAGACCCACAGAGACCCATAGAGCACCCATAGAGACTCATAGAGACCCACAGAGACCCATAGAGACCCACAGAGACCCACAGAGACCCATAGAGACCCACAGAGACCCATAGAGACCCATAGAGACCCATAGAGACCCATAGAGACCAAGAGAGACCCATAGAGACCCACAGAGACCCATAGAGACCCACAGAGACCCACAGAGACCCATAGAGACCCACAGAGACCCATAGAGACCCATAGAGACCCACAGAGACCCACAGAGACCCATAGAGACACATAGAGACCCACAGAGACCCATAGAGACCCATAGAGACCCATAGAGACCAAGAGAGACCCATAGAGACCCATAGAGACCCACCGAGACGCATAGAGACCCACAGAGACCCATAGAGACCCACAGAGACCCACAGAGACCCATAGAGACCCATAGAGACCCACAGAGACCCATAGAGACCCATAGAGACCCATAGAGACCCACATAGACCCATAGAGACCCACAGAGACCCACAGAGACCCATAGAGACCCACAGAGACCCATAGAGACCCATAGAGACCCACAGAGACCCATAGAGACCCATAGAGACCAAGAGAGACCCATTGAGACCCACAGAGACCCATAGAGACCCACAGAGACCCACAGAGAGCCATAGAGACCCATAAAGACCCATAGAGACCCATAGAGACGCATAGAGACCCACAGAGACCCATAGAGACCCATAGAGACCCACAGAGACCCATAGAGACCCATAGAGACACATAGAGACCCACAGAGACCCATAGAGACCCATATAGACCCATAGAGACCAAGAGAGACCCATAGAGACCCATAGAGACCCACAGAGACCCATAGAGACCCACAGAGACCCATAGAGACCCACAGAGACCCACAGAGACCCATAGAGACCCATAGAGACCCACAGAGACCCATAGAGACGCATAGAGACCAAGAGAGACCCATAGAGACACATAGAGACCCACAGAGACCCATAGAGACCCACAGAGACCCACAGAGACCCACAGAGACCCATAGAGACTCACAGAGACCCATAGAGACCCATAAAGACCCACGGAGACCCACAGAGACCCATAGAGACCCATAGAGACCCATAGAGACCCACAGAGACCCATAGAGACCCACAGAGACCCACAGAGACTCACAGAGACCCACAGAGACCCATAGAGACCCATAGAGACCCATAGAGACCCATAGAGACCCACAGAGACCCATAGAGACCCACAGAGACCCACAGAGACCCATAGAGACCCACAGAGACCCATAGAGACCCATAGAGAACCACAGAGACCCATAGAGACCCATAGAGACCAAGAGAGACCCATAGAGACCCACAGAGACCCATAGAGACCCACAGAGACCCACAGAGACCCATAGAGACCCTTAGAGACCAAGAGAGACCCATAGAGACCCATAGAGACCCACAGAGACCCATAGAAACCCATAGAGACCCACAGAGACCCATAGAGACCCATAGAGACACATAGAGACCCACAGAGACCCATAGAGACCCATAGAGACCAAGAGAGACCCATAGAGACCCATAGAGACCCACAGAGACCCATAGAGACCCATAGAGACCCACAGAGACCCACAGAGACCCATAGAGACCCACAGAGACCCATAGAGACCCATAGAGACCAAGAGAGACCCATAGAGACACATAGAGACACATAGAGACCCACAGAGACCCATAGAGACCCACAGAGACCCATAGAGACCCACAGAGACCCATAGAGAACCACAGAGACCCACATAGACCCATAGAGACCCATAGAGACCCACAAAGACCCATAGAGACCCATAGAGACCCATAGAGACCCATAGAGACCCACAGAGACCCATAGAGACCCATAGAGACCCATAGAGACCAAGAGAGACCAAGAGAGATCCATAGAGACCCACAGAGACCCATAGAGACCCACAGAGACCCATAGAGACCCATAGAGACCCACAGAGACCCATAGAGACCCACAGAGACCCATAGAGACCAAGAGAGACCAAGAGAGACCAAGAGAGACACATACATACACATAGAGACACATGCAGATGCAAAGAGACCCATAGAGACCCATAGAGACCCACAGAGACCCATAGAGACCCATAGAGACCCACAGAGACCCATAGAGACCACAGAGACCAAGAGAGACACATAGAGACCCATAGAGACCCACAGAGACCCATAGAGACCCATAGAGACACATAGAGACCCATAGAGACCCACAGAGACCCATAGAGACCCATAGAGACCCACAGAGACCCATAGAGACCCATAGAGACCCACAGAGACCCATAGAGACCCATAGAGACACATAGAGACACATAGAGACCCACAGAGACCCATAGAGACCCACAGAGACCCATAGAGACCCATAGAGACCCACAGAGACCCATAGAGACCCATAGAGACCCACAGAGACCAAGAGAGACCAAGAGAGACCAAGAGAGACACATAGAGACACATACATACACATAGAGACACATAGAGACACATGCAGATGCAAAGAGACCCATAGAGACCCATAGAGACCCACAGAGACCCACAGAGACCTATAGAGACCCACAGAGACCAAGAGAGACCAAGAGAGACACATAGAAACACATACATACACATTGAGACACACACAGATGCAAAGAGACCAATAGAGACCCATAGAGACCGTGAGAGACACGTAGAGACACACAGAGACCCATACACTAAAATAATTTGTATTTGACCAGCTAAGGGCCACTGAGCTACTCTGTAGCTCTTTTTCAGAAGCGACCTGGACAGAGAGAGACGCAGACTCCAAATATACAGCAGCAGCAGGCATCGTCAGGGTCAGGATCAAAGCCACGACCTCCTGTAGACCAGGCGAGGTAGTCAACATCTCCTAGCCACCGTGATGATGATGATGAGAGAGAGACGCAGACTCCACATAGACCTCCTGTATACCAGGCGAGGTAGTCAAGATCTCATAGCCACCGTGATAATAATAATGATGAGAGAGAGAGAGAGAGACGCGGACTCCAAATATACAGCAGCAGCAGCAGGCGTCGTCAGGGTCGTGATCAAAGCCACGACCTCCTGCGCACCAGGCGAGGTAGTCAACATCTCCGCCCACCTCCAGCCATGATGTACTCTCGGAAGAAGGGGATGCGGAACCAGAAGGGCAGCATGAGGAGGTGGGGGCGCAGCCCCGGGAAGAGGACACGGAAGCCGGTGGCCTCCGTGCCAAAGTTGCCGAAACCCCCAGCCACGAGGACGCCGTGAGGGTGGAAGCCAAAGAGGTAGTTGTGGTCTGGGTCCAGCTCAGCCGTCTTCACCAGCTGTGGTGGTGGTGGCGGTGGTGATAATGGTGGTGGTGGTGGGGATGGTGATAATGGTGGTGGTGATTGTGATAATGGTGGTGGTGTTGATGTTGATGAAGGTGGTGGTGGTGGTGATAATGGTAGTGGTGATGATAATGGTGGTGGTGGTGGTGATAATAATGGTGGTGATGATAATGGTGGTGGTGATAATGATGGTGGTGGTGATGGTAATGGTGGTGGTGATGATAATGGTGGTGGTGATGGTAATGGTGGTGATGATAATGGTGGTGGTGATAATGGTGGTGATGATAATGGTGGTGGTGGTGATAATGGTGGTGGTGGTGATGATGATGGTGGTGGTGGTGGTGATGATGGTGGTGGTGGTGGTGATGATAATGGTGGTGGTGGTGATGATGGTGGTGGTGATGATAATGATGGTGGTGATGATAATGGTGGTGGTGGTGGTGATGATGGTGGTGGTGATGATAATGGTGGTGGTGATGATAATGGTGGTGGTGGTGATAATGGTGGTGGTGGTGATGATAATGGTGGTGGTGGTGATGATGGTGGTGGTGATGATAATGATGGTGGTGGTGATGATTATGATGGTAGTGGTGATAATGATGGTGGTGGTGATGATTATGATGGTGGTGGTGATAATGATGGTGGTGGTGGTGATGATTATGATGGTGGTGGTGATAATGATGGTGGTGGTGATGATTATGATGGTGGTGGTGATAATTATGATGGTGGTGGTGGTGATGGTAGGAGGGGGCAGGGGGGGGGAGTGTTAATGGAAGTGCCGGTTGTGTATGATGTGTCGTGTATATGATTGGCTATGTGAGTGGGTGAGTGAATGTGTGAGTGGCTGTGTGAGTGGGTGAGTGACTGTGTGAGTGGGTGAGTGGCTATGTGAGTGGGTGAGTGACTGTGTGGGTGGGTTAGTGGCTGTGTGAGTGGGTGAGTGGCTGTGTGAGTGGGTGAGTGACTGTGTGAGTGGGTGAGTGAATGTGTGAGTGGGTGAGTGGCTGGGTGAGTGGGTGAGTGACTGTGTGATTGGGTGAGTGGCTATGTGAGTGGGTGAATGACTGTGTGAGTGGGTGAGTGGCTGTGTGAGTGGGTGAGTAACTGTGTGAGTGGCTGGGTAAGTGGGTGAGTGGCTGTGTGAGTGGGTGAGTGGCTGTGTGAGTGGGTGAGTGGCTGGGTGAGTGACTGTGTGAGTGACTTTGTGAGTGACTATGTGAGTGGGTGAGTGACTGTGTGAGTGGGTGAGTGAATGTGTGAGTGGGTGAGTGGCTGGGTGAGTGGGTGAGTGGCTGGGTGAGTGGGTGAGTGGCTGGGTGAGTGGGTGAGTGACTGTGTGAGTGACTGTGTGAGTGACTATGTGAGTGGGTGAGTGACTGTGTGAGTGGGTGAGTGACTGTGTGAGTGACTGTGTGAGTGACTATGTGAGTGGGTGAGTGGTTGTGTGAGTGACTATGTGACTATGTGAGTGACTGTGTGAGTGTGTGAGTGACTATGTGTCCCCAGTGTCCCCCCACCGTGTCCCCACCGTGTCCCCAGCGTGTCCCCAGTGTCCCCACCGTGTCCCCAGTGTCCCCAGTGTGTCCCCAGTGTCCCCAGCGTGTGTCCCCGTACGTGAATGGGGAAGTAATCCCGGAAATGTCTCCTGAGGCACCAGGAGCGCACCCAGCGTGAGCGGCGTCCCCAGTGTCCGCAGTGTCCCCAGTGTGTCCCCCAGCCTGTCCCCCACGTGTCCTAGTGTGTCCCCAGTGTCCCCACAGTGTCCCCAGTGGCCCCAGTGTCCCCAGTGTCCCCAGTGTGCCCCCAGTGTCCCCCACGTGTCCCCCACGTGTCCCCAGTGTGTCCCCAGTGTGTCCCCCACCGTGTCCCCAGCGTGTGTCCCCGTACGTGAATGGGGAAGTAATCCCGGAAATGTCTCCAGAGGCACCAGGAGCGCACCCAGCGTGAGCGGCGTCCCCCGCTCTGCGGCGTCTCCCAGTCGAGGTAGAGCCACAGCAGGTAGGCGAGCGCCAGGAGCCGCAGCGGAGGCAGCAGCAGCGGCAGCAGCAGCAAGGCGGCCAGGCACACCTGGCCTGGGGTCCGGAGAGACACGTGGGGGGGGGGGGGGGGGACACGTGGGGGACACGCTGGGACACGTGGGGACACGGTGGGGACACGTGGGGACACGCTGGGGACACGGTGGGGACACGCTGGGGGACACGTGGAGACATGCAGGGACATGTGGGGACACGGTAGGGACACTGGGGACACGGTGGGACACGGTAGGGACACGGTGGGGACACGCTGGGACATGCAGGGACACGGTGGGGACACGGTAGGGACACGCTGGGACACGTGGGGGACACGTGGGGACATGTGGGGACACGCTGGGGACACAGGAGAGATACTCGGGGACACGCTGGTGGGGGGTGGAGGGGGGTGGAGGGGGGTGGGGGGGGGGGGGTCACGGGGGACTGGGGGGGGGTGGAGGGACAGTGACAGGGATTTTGTGTTTCTCTGCTTTCTAGGTGATTACGCAATCCGCTGTCTCCAGCGAACACAACGCAGAGGGGTGGAGGAGTGGTGGAGTGGTGGTGGAGTGGTGGAGGAGTGATGGAGGAGTGGTGGAGGTGGAGTGGTGGAGGAGTGGTGGTGGAGTGGTGGAGGAGTGGTGGAGGTGGAGTGGTGGAGGAGTGGTGGAGGTGGAGTGGTGGAGGAGTGGTGGTGGAGTGGTGGAGGAGTGGTGGAGGTGGAGTGGTGGAGGAGTGGTGGTGGAGTGGTGGAGGAGTGGTGGAGGTGGAGTGGTGGCGGAGTGGTGGAGGAGTGGTGGAGGTGGAGTGGTGGTGGAGTGGTGGAGTGGTGGAGGAGTGGTGGAGGAGTGGTGGTGGAGTGGTGGTGGAGTGGTGGAGTGGTGGTGGAGTGGTGGAGGAGTGGTGGTGGAGTGGTGGAGGAGTGGTGGAGGTGGAATGGTGGAGGAGTGGTGGAGTGGTGGAGGTGAAGTGGTGGAGTGGTGGTGGAGGAGTGGTGGAGGTGGAGTGGTGGAGTGGTGGAGGTGAAGTGGTGGAGTGGTGGTGGAGGAGTGGTGGAGGAGTGGTGGAGGTGGAAGGTGGAGGAGTGGTGGAGGAGTGGTGGATGAGTGGTGGATGAGTGGTGGAGGGGTGGTGGAGTGGTGGTGGAGTGGTGGTGGAGGAGTGGTGGAGGAGTGGTGGAGGTGGAGTGGTGGAGGAGTGGAGGTGGAGTGGTGGAGTGGTGGAGGAGTGGTGGAGTGGTGGAGGTGGAGTGGTGGTGGAGTGGTGGAGGAGTGGTGGCTTGTGCCATTGCAGGTGCACTTTGAGGCCACTAAACTAAAATCTAAACTATTTTGTATTTTACCAGGGAGTACGGCTCCACTGAGATATGGAGCTCTTTACAGAAGCCACCTGGACATCACAAATGATAGCCCAGCGAAGTGGCTCATCATCATCATCGTCATCATCGTCATCATCATCACCGTCATCATCGTCATTGTCATCATCGTCACCATCATCGTCGTCATCCTCATCGTCATCATCATCGTCATCATCACGTGGAAATGAATAGCGGCAGGCAAATCCTGCGAGAACGCGTGACGTTAATTCTAAATGTGGAGCAAAATAAGCGGAGCACACGGAGACAAATCCACGTGACCACGGTGAGAGAGAGAGAGACACAAAACTCCAAATATACAGCAGGGGATCGAACCCACGACCTCCTGTGTACCATCGACAGCACGGTGCCCCATCCACTCACTCATTCAACAATTCACTGACCTACCGTCTCATCCACTAACCCACTCACCATTCCACAACCACCCACTCATTCGTTCACTCACCCACCCTCTCACCCACTCACCCTCTCACCCACTCATCCACCCATGCATTTACCCACCCAGCCACCTAGCCACCCACCCAGCCAGCCAGCCACTCACTCACCCACTCACCCTCTCACTCACCCACCCACTCACCCACGCACCCACCTCACTCACCCATCTTCTCTCTCACCCACCCACCCTCTCACCCACTCACCCACCCACTCACCCACCCACCCACTCACCCTCTCACCCACCCACTCACCCACTCACCCACCCTCTCACCCACCCTCTCACCCACTCACCCACCCACCTCACCCACCCACTCACCCACCCACGTCACCCACCCACTCACTCACTCATCCACCCTCTCACCCACTCACCCACCCACTCACTCACCCACCCACCCTCTCACCCACTCACCCACCCTCTCACCCACTCACTCACCCACCCACTCACTCACTCACCCACCCTCTCACCCACCCAATCACCCACCCTCTCACCCACTCACCCACCCACTCACCCACTCACCCACCCACTCACCCACTCACCCACCCTCTCACCCACCCACCCACCCACTCACCCACCCACTCACCCACCCTCTCACCCACTCACCCACCCACTCACCCACTCACCCACCCTCTCACCCACTCACCCACCCAGTCACCCACTCACCCACCCTCTCACCCACTCACCCACCCACTCACCCACTCACCCACCCTCTCACCCACCCTCTCACCCACTCACCCACCCACTCACCCACTCACCCACCCACTCACCCACCCTCTCACCCACCCACCCACCGAGTGCCAGGAACGAGAAGACCCACTGCAGCACGGCGAAGGTCTGCAGGCGGCGCGCCAGCGGCACCACGAGTGGTGCAAACTTCACCTTCATGTCTCCTGCAGGGAGACCAGCAGCAGCAGCAGCACGGGGTCAAGGTCACTCACGGCAAGGTCGCGCTCCGTCACACGCCAAGTAAACGGCGATGCTTCGCTGTGACCTCCCCACACAGCTACTCACTCACTCACACAGTCACTCAGTCACTCACACAGTCACTCAGTCACTCACACAGTCACTCAGTCACTCACGTAGTCACTCAGTCACTCACACAGTCACTCAGTCACTCGCGTAGTCACTCAGTCACTCACACAGTCACTCAGTCACTCACACAGTCACTCAGTCACTCGCGTAGTCACTCACTCACTCACACAGTCACTCACACAGTCACTCACCCACTCACACAGCCACTCACCCACTCAGTCACTCAGTCACTCACCCACACACACAGCCACTCAGTCACTCACACAGCCACTCACTCACTCACACAGTCACTCAGTCACTCGCGTAGTCACTCACTCACTCACACAGTCACTCAGTCACTCACGTAGTCACTCACACAGTCACTCACACAGTCACTCACCCACACAGTCACTCACCCACTCACACAGTCACTCACATAGTCACTCACTCACACAGTCACTCTCCCACTCACTCACTCACACAGTCACTCACACAGCCACGCAGCCACCCACATACAGTGAGGGAAAAAAAGTATTTGATCCCCTGCTGATTGTGTACGTTTGTCCACTGACAAAGAAATGAACAGTCTATAATTTTAATGGTAGGTTTATTTGAACAGTGACAAACAGAATAACAAAAAAATCCAGAAAAACGCATGTCAAAATGTTATAAATTGATTTGCATTTTAATGAGGGAAATAAGTATTTTATCCCTCTGCAAAACATGACTTAGTACTTGGTGGCAAAACCCTTGTTGGCAATCACAGAGGTCAGACGTTTCTTGCAGTTGGCCACCAGGTTTGCACACATCTCAGGAGGGATTTTGTCCCACTCCTCTTTGCAGATCTTCTCCAAGTCATTAAGGTTTCGAGGCTGACGTTTGGCAACTCGAACCTTCAGCTCCCTCCACAGATTTTCTATGGGATTAAGGTCTGGAGACTGGCTAGGCCACTCCAGGACCTTAATGTGCTTCTTCTTGAGCCACTCCTTTGTTGCCTTGGCCGTGTGTTTTGGGTCATTGTCATGCTGGAATACCCATCCACGACCCATTTTCAATGCCCTGGCTGAGGGAAGGAGGTTTTCACCCAAGATTTGACGGTACATGGCCCCGTTCATCGCCCCTTTGATGCGGTGAAGTTGTCCTGTCCCCTTAGCAGAAAAACACCCCCAAAGCATAATGTTTCCACCGCCATATTTGACGGTGGGGATGGTGTTCTTGGGGTCATAGGCAGCATTCCTCCTCCTCCAAACACGGCGAGTTGGGTTGATGCCAAAGAGCTCCATTCTGGTCTCATCTGACCACAACACTTTCACCCAGTTGTCCTCTGAATCAATCAGATGTTCATTGGCAAACTTCAGACGGGCATGTATATGTGCTTTCTTGAGCAGGGGGACCTTGCGGGCGCTGCAGGATTTCAGTCCTTCACGGCATAGTGTTTTACCAATTGTTTTCTTGGTGACTATGGTCCCAGCTGTCTTGAGATCATTGACAAGATCCTCCCGTGTAGTTCTGGGCTGATTCCTCACCGTTCTCATGATCATTGCAACTCCACAAGGTGAGATCTTGCATGGAGCCGCAGGCCGAGGGAGATCGACAGTTCTTTTGTGTTTCTTCCATTTCCGAATAATCGCACCAACTGTTGTCACCTTCTCACCAAGTGGCTTGGCAATGGTCTTGTAGCCCATTCCAGCCTTGTGTAGGTCTACAATCTTGTCCCTGACATCCTTGGAGAGCTCTTTGGTCTTGGCCATGGTGGAGAGTTTGGAATCTGATTGATTGCTTCTTTGGACAGGTGTCTTTTATACAGGTAACAAGCTGAGATTAGGACACTCTTAAAGGGAGTGCTCCTAATCTCAGCTTGTTACCTGTATCAAAGACACCTGGGAGCCAGAAATCTTTCTGATTGAGAGGGGGTCAAATACTTATTTCCCTCATTAAAATGCAAATCAATTTGTAACATTTTTGACATGCGTTTTTCTGGATTATGTCTCTCACTGTTCAAATAAACCTACCATTATAATTAGAGACTGATCATTTCTTTGTCAGTGGGCAAACATACCAAATCAGTAAGGGATCAAATACTTTTTACCCTCACTGTATGTGTTTGAAAAATTTGTGAAATAATGTGGGAGCCAGAGAACATCCCTGTCACATCCCAAGGTGTACAGGGAATGGCTCTGACTCCCGGCGACGTAGTTTAACCCGGGCCCGCTCACCATCATGAAGGTCCTTAATGATTGTGAGCAGAGAGTCAGGGACTCTGAAAGCACGAAGAACAACCCAGAGCCCAGGCCTACTGATGGTATCATAGGCCTTGACCAGGTCAATACAGCAGAGATGCAGGTCTTGTTGAAATGCCCTACACCTCTGCTGTAGCAGACGGACAGAAAATATGGCATCTGTGCAGGACCGCCCTTTCCTGAAACCGCATTGGGGCTCCGCAAGCCTCTCCTCAGCTTGCCTGGCGAGGCGATGTTGAATGATACTTGTAGTAAAATCTTGACTTCAAGCTTTCGTGACTGCAGTAATTCATATTCTTTGGGTCTTTCGTTAAAGTCACTGAGATAGGTTCAAAGAAAATAACCAAAAATAACAACAAAAACTACGACGTTTCTAGGAATAGGTTTTACCCTTTTAACTGGCACAAAAACTGACACCTTTATTCAAAGCATCATGTTTGCAATAACCACAACACAAGCAGTCAAAATGCAAACAAAAAAGACAACTCTGATAATAATATGCACTGTCCTTGAGTTTGATTGGTCCACACCCGAGACGGCTTTCTTTAGACCCTAGTCTCCACTGGTGTTGGACCAGAAGACGCTTGTGTTGTGGTTATTGCAAACATGATGCCTTGAATAAAGGTGTCAGTTTTTGTGCCAGTTAAAAGGGTAAAACCTATTCCTATATCTTGTTTCTGGCAAAGAAGGTCTCATAATACGACATTTCTATCGCAATACAAGCGATTGATCACATAGTCGTAGTTTGTTGTTGTTGTTACTTTTGTTGATTTTCTTTGAACCTTTCGACGTGACTTTACCGATAGACCCAGGAATATCCTTGCAGTTGTTACAGTCTGTGTGGTCCCCCTGATTAAAAGAGTGGGACCGCCAGGGCATCCTTCAAATCCTACGGGGACCCATCCAGTGTTCCAGACTGTTGTTATGATCTCACATAGGGCAGTCTGCACACAGGCACCACCATCCCTCAGCAATTCGCTTGGGAGATCATCTCTGCCCGCTGCCTTTCCTGGTCTCAGACTCTGGATCGCCTTCAGTACTTCCTCAACAGATGGCACCTCAGCCAGCCACTCACAGGGGGTGACTCCTTCCAATATTTGAGGCACCGCAGCCTCAGCAGGGTCATCCTCACTTTGTGCCACGATGTTTTCCATGCTGAGGGATTTTCCATCCCCCAAGACCTCACAGAAATGCTCGGCAAATCTGCAAACCTGTTCCTGGCGGTCAAAGATCTCTCTTTCACACACAGTCACTAATGCATAGTCACACACACACAGTCACACTCGCCCACTGTCACATTCACACACACACAAAGATCCTCTGTATAGCCTTAACAGACTGTTGGGGCAAGTGCTGTAGGTGGAGCAAGTGCTGTTTGCTCAGAAAATCTGCAAACCTATTCCTGGGGGGTCAAAGATCACACACACACACAGTCACTCACACAGACAAAACCTAAGATCCCCCGTATAGTCTTAACAGACTGTAGGGGCAAGTGCTGTTAGCGAGTAGCACCTGTGAAGGTAGACACAAAGGTCCCCCGTGTAGCCTCTAGTAGGCTGTAGGGGCAAGTGCTGTGAATAGCGAGTAGCAGCAGCACCTGTGAAGGTAGACACAGACAAAGGTCTCCCGTGTAGCCTCTAACAGACTGTAGGGGCAAGTGCTGTTAGTAGCGAGTAGCAGCAGCACCTATGAAGGTAGACACAGACAAAGGTCCCCCGTATAGGCTTAACAGACTGTAGGGGCAAGTGCTGTGAGTAGCGAGTAGCACCACCAATGAAGGCCAGAACGACCGAGGAGAGGCCCAGGACTGGTTCAGATAATCGTCACTGTCGGTGGTGGTCGTTAGCGGGAATCGAACTCGGGTCGCCGGGTTCGTAGCGCAGCGTAGCGCTAACCACTACACTACCGCTCCCCACTCTCAACCACACACAAGTCACTCACACACACACAGTTACACTCACACAGTCACACACAGTCACTCACACACACACACACAGTTACACACACACAGTTACACACACACACAGTTACACACACACAGTCACTCACTGTCACTCACTCACACACACGCTGTCACTCACACACACACGCAGTCACTCACACACAGTCACTCACACACACACAGTCACTCACACACACAGTCACTCACTCACACACACGCTGTCACTCACACACACAGTCACTCACTCACACACACGCAGTTACACACACACACAGTCACTCAGTGTCACTCACTCACACACACGCTGTCACTCACACACAGTCACTCAGTGTCACTCACTCACACACGCAGTCACTCACACACAGTCACACACACGCAGTTACACACACACACAGTCACTCACTGTCACTCACTGTCACTCACACACACGCTGTCACTCACACACACACTCACACACAGTCACTCACTGTCACTCACACACACGCTGTCACTCACACACACACGCAGTCACTCACACACACTCACACACAGTCACTCACTGTCACTCACTCACACACAATCACTCACTGTCACTCATACACAGTCACTCACTGTCACTCACTCACACACAGTCACACACACACACAGTTACACACTGTCACTCACTCACACACAGTCACTCACACACACAGTCACACACACAGTCACTCACACACAC